TCCTGCTCCCGCTCCTCCGGTACCCCCGCCCCCCCCTGGTCCTGCCCCGTCTGGTGTGTCCCACGCTACCCCTCTCCCCTCGGTCGCGCGTCCGGTAGCGTCTCCCTCCCCGCGGTCCTCCTCACAGTCCCCTCAGCAGCCTTCGGCACTTCCGCGACAGGTTACTGTGGACTCGGTTGGTGTTGGAGCTGGAGGTGCAGCCGTTGGCGGTGCTCGGTCTGGGGGTGCTCGGTCGCGGGGTACTAGAGCTGGAGGTGCTGGCGCAGGTGACGCTAGCTCTGGGGGTGCTGGAGCTGGAGGTGCTGGCGCAGGTGGCGCTAGCTCTGGGGGTGCTGGAGCTGGAGGTGCCGGCACTGGAGGTGCTGGTTCTGGGGGTGCTGGAGTTGGGGGTGCTGGCACTAGCGGTGCTAGTTCTGGGGGTGCTGGAGTTGGAGGTCCTGGCACTGGCGGTACTGGTTCTGGGGGTGCTGAGTCTGAGGAGACTGACGCTGGAGACCCTGGTTCTGCGGAGTCCCCCCCGCCCCCCCACCGCCACGACACGCGTCTCCAGGCTGCCCGTCGGCGTGAGCGTGAGGAGCAGGAGCAGGTGGAGAGGGAGCGGCAGGAGCTGCGGGTGCTGGACCTTCTGGAGCAGCAGCGGCAGCAGCAGCAGCAGCAGCAGCCGCAGCCGCAGCCGCAGCCGCAGCAGCAGCAGCAGCCGCAGCCGCAGCAGCAGCGGCCGCAGCCGCCACCGCAGGTTCCTCTAGAGCGGCGGTTGTTCCCACCTGTGAGTGGCCTGCGGGCCCTTGGCCTTTCCTCCTCTCCTCCTGTCCGCTCCCAGTCTCCTCCTGTGTTTGTTCCTCCGTTGCCTCCTCCTGACGACCGTCCGGCGGTCTGGTCTTCTCCTCCTCCTCAGTCTCCTCCTCCCTCTGTCCGTCGCGACTTGATCACTCGTTGTCCTCCGCGTGCTCGTCACTCGTCCCCTGTCACTGACCTCCACACTGCCCTCCTTTGTTCGTCCCATCGTCGTTCTCCTTCTCCTGTGTCCGTTCTCCCGTCTCCTCCTCCGTCCTCTCTACCTGCCCTCCCCACTCCTATCTTTGACTACTACCGCGCTGTTCGTCCTGTTGCCGCACGTGTCCTCACCACTCTTGTCACCGACCCTCGTTTCCCTCCGTCGTCTGTCTCGGCTCTCACTGCCGCTGTCGCTGAGTTTGCTGCCGCCAGCCGCCTTGACTACGCCACCCGTGTGGTGCCAGCTCCTCCCTACCGTGCTCTGTCCGTCGGGGGTGGGTTTGCCCTTGGTTGTGACGTCCTAGAGGACAGAGAGTCTGAGCTGGAGTACTGGGCAGCCGCTTCTCCCTCTGTGTGTGCCATGCTGCTCTCCCCTGAGGGAGACCCCGACGCCCTTGACATACCGACTCCTCGCACTTACCGCGAGGCAGTGTCAGGGGCGTGGGCCTCTCAGTGGAAAGCGGCTATGGACTCAGAGTTGGCGTCTTGGAGATCCACAGACACCTACGTCGACGCAGTTCCCCCTCCCAGGGCGAACGTAGTCGATGGCATGTGGCTCTTCAAGGTGAAGCGGCCGCCTGGAGCACCGCCGGTGTTCAAGGCGCGCTACGTGGCTAGGGGTTTCAGTCAGCGTGAGGGAGTTGACTTCTTCCAGACCTTCGCCCCGACCCCGAAGATGACTACTCTTCGGGTGTTACTCCACATAGCAGCGCAGCGAGACTACGAGCTGCACTCCCTCGACTTCTCCACTGCGTTCCTCCAGGGCCGACTGCACGAGGAGATCTGGCTGCGCCGCCCTCCTGGCTTCACTGACACCTTCCCACCTGGGACCCAGTGGAGCCTGAGGCGACCAGTCTACGGTCTCCGCCAGTCGCCCCGTGAGTGGCACGACACTCTTCGCTCCACGCTTCGTGACCTTGGGTTCAGCCCGTCCTCCGCCGACCCGTCGCTGTTTGTTCGAGCGGGTTCTACTCCTTTCTTTATCCTTGTCTACGTCGACGACTTGGTGTTTGCTACAGCAGACAGGGCAGCCCTGGCTCAGGTGAAGTCCGAACTGCAGAAGAGACACAAGTGCACTGACCTGGGTGAGCTGCAGCGCTACCTTGGCCTGCAGATCACCCGGGACAGAGCCGCTCGCACCATCACACTGACGCAGTCACACATGGTGCAGCAGGTCCTTCGGCGGTTCGACTTCCAGTTCTCCACCACACAGCCCACTCCTCTTGCTGTTGACCACAGACTCACGGGCCCCTTTCCTGACGAGCCCTTTGAGTCCAGTGGACCCTACGCAGAGCTGGTGGGCTGCCTCATGTACCTGATGACGTGTACTCGACCGGACCTCGCCTTTCCACTCAGCATCCTTTCTCGCTTTGTTGCGACTGGGAGACATCGCCCTGTCCACTGGACAGCTGCTGTGAGGGTGGCGAAGTACCTGGCGACTACATCAGGCTTGGGGCTTGTGCTTGGAGGGACTCAACCAGTGGCGTTGACTGGTCACTGCGACTCTTCCTACGCTGACGACGTGGGGACTCAGCGTTCGACTCAGGGTTACTGCTTCAGTCTGGGAGCTGGTGCTGTGTCGTGGAGGTCTACACGGTCGTCGTCTGTGGCTACTTCCAGTGCAGAGGCAGAGATCTACGCTGGTGCCATGGCGGCACAGGAGCTTCGCTGGTTGACCTTCTTGCTCGCTGACCTTGGTGAGCGGCCTCGCTCTGCACCGACCTTGTACGCTGACAACAAGGCCATGATCCTCCTGTGTCGAGAGCCTCGACTGGAGAGCAGAGTGAAGCATATTGACGTGAGGTACTTCCTCCTGCGAGAGCTGCAGCGACGCGGTCAGGCACGCCTGGACTTTGTGGCCTCAGAGGCCAACACTGCAGACGTCTTCACCAAGGCCTTGGCGCTTGGTGACCACCACAGGTTCTGTGTGCAGTTGGGGCTTGTTGAGGTAGGCCCTCGGTTGCTGTAGTCCTGTTGCTTGCTCTGCTTGTTGTGCTTTGTATTTATATCCTAGTGAACTCTTGAACTGGCCTTGTGGCCGCTTGCTTGCGCTCGGAATTTGTGTGGTGTCCTTGAGATCCACCCTGAGCTTGCCTTGGTTCTTGCTTTGACTGGTCTTGTGACCGTTTGTTCACCTTGCTTGCTTTGATGCCCCTCACTTAGCCTATGGGGGTGTGTCAAATGTTGAACATTGATATGATAGGCTATAGTGAGTTGCACTCTAGGGGGTACAGCTTCTAGGGTTGCTCATTTGTACCCCATTCGTTTCTATTCTAATGATTCCGTTGTTCGCTAACTTTGAGAGTTCTCACCAAGCTAATTGCATCCTACGTAACTAGATTGGATTTACAGAGAACTAGAGTGAAGGAGATAGTGAAGAGGAGGTATGGTGAGAGTGAGTCAGTGGCTAAGGAGGCCTATATGCTCATGAAGCTGGTAAAGCAGGCTGTGCTTGCTAAGGACGCGTCACCTCCCTCGATCGATCGGGCAAAATCGAGGAAGATCGATCGTCCACCGCACTAAAATCCCGCGTGTTGCATTTAAATTTGCTTGAAAACTTTTTGAACCGAATCAAAAATCGATCCTGCGCAGGATCGATCGAGGCAGTTGACGCGTCCTAAGCATGTACAAGCATGTGCTGCTAAGCAGGCGTGGGGTAGATTCTGTTGGAAATCCGAGTACAGTATAACGAATACTGTGTGCTGTTTGGTTTTAGTGTAGTCCTCTTGATAAGCTTCCAGGTCCTACAATAATTGTGGCAATTATTGTAGGGGCCACAATTATTGGAGCCCAGCATTAGAGCGTATTCCTATCCTCGTATCAAGAAAACCTCATATCAACCTCCCACTGAAAATTCCCCTAAACCCAAAACCTCTCGCTACTTTTACCAGGCAAAAAGTACAATCTTGATATGAGGTTTTCTTGATACGAGAATAGGAATACGCTCTTATTGGAGGGTAGAGGGTACAATTATTGGTGTGAATGAGTCATTCTAGAGGGGTAGCTGGATGCATACCTATTCCCTGCTGTGTCACATCATTGAGTTATCATTGAGTTATAATTGTGTCATCATTCTACTTTTAAATGATCAATGCAAGACTTCTATCTTGTTCTTTTCTACAAACACGTTTCCGCTACGCCGGCACTATGCCTTTCTAGCAGATTCCTGACTTTCGGGAATGCCTGAGTTCCAAAGTTTATCCCCCACTATTGTTTCTGCTCGGAACTTACTACAGTGGTATTTTTTCTCACGACTGGGCAACATAAATTGTAATACAAAACAGCAAAACAATTTCAGGCCTGACTACAAGTAATAACTACACCTCAAATCTAGCGTAATCCAAACATCCATGGATGGAGCAACTTAAGCTCCTGAGTATGTCAACTACTGTATCTATCTCAAGCTTCAAAACCGCATCCTGTCAACAGTGAAAGCAGGACAGGCGAATTCTAGACCACTATTGTACTTGCTGGTATAACATTACACCACCAAATTCCACCCAGTAACCCAAACAAGCCATGGACCCACATACATACACCTCTGTTCCGCTCGCCAACTTCCACTCCCACACACTGGCACACACACACACGGAGGGTGTTTTTACTTACCCCTCCTTGGGCTCATATATCGACTCCATGGGTTTTCTGGTCTGGGGCATCGAGAGCACCTCACCAGATACGATGGGAGGCATGGAGCGATCAATGGGGGTGAAGGTGACAGCTGGCTTTGCAGGAGCAGCTGGAGCGTCGCCACTTTTGGCATCCTTGCCTTTTTTTTCGTCTGCTGAGATGCTGATCGCACAGCCCATGGCTAAGGTGGTGGTAAGGCGAGGGAGAGGAGGGGGAGAACGGGGTGGGTGGGAGTCACTGGTGCAGGGTGCTGGTGCTCGGATGGTTAATCAAGTTGAAACGGTTCACTGGGAGTACTCAACAGGCACGCTGGGAAGATGGTTCCGATGAAAAGGTTCGATGAGGCGGTGCTGCGGTGATAGGTGGTTGAGTGTGGTCTAGAGGAAAGAGGAGCTCGTTAGCAGTAGTTGGTCGTTGGTATAGGAGGCCATCTGTAAAGGGATGGGCCATGATGGGGTTCAGAGAAGAGGAGAATGGCAAATAGCGGGAGGTATGAGAGAAACAGGAGTAGGGAGACAAAGGGAAGAGATTAGAACCAGAGGGAGGGGGACAGGCAGTGAGGAAACGGGCAGTGAGGAAATGGGCAGTGGGAAAACAAGCGGAGGCGAAATGGGAGGAGTAGCAAGAGCCAGGAGGAAATTTTCCACAAAAACAGAAGAGGTCAGGAGAGGAGTGCAGCGAGGTAAAGTGGAAAGAAAAAGCAGATAGAGGCGAGAGACAAAAGGGTTGAAAATTCTGTGAGGTCCAATACCGGTAGCAGGAAGGGGGGGGAGGGGGGGTGGGTTGAGGGGGAAGGGAAATGAGGGATGGGAAGGAGAGGAGTGGATGGGGAGAGGAGAGAAGAGGGGAGATGAAGGAAGCAGAGAAGATGAGGAAACGAGGGGAGTGGACGAAAAGAGTGGAGGGGAGATGGTAGAGGACGGGAGGAGGTGAGAGGAGGGAAGAAGGGAAGCAAATGGGAGACGGTAGAGGACGGGCGGGAGATTATGGAGGGAGGGGGAGGAAGGAATGAGGGAAGACTAGAGGAGGGGAGAGGGAATGAAGGGATGGATGGGAGGAGGGGAGAGGAGGAGGGAGAGAGGATGCGAGGACGGAGAGAAGCGAAGGAGAGGTGAAGAGGGAGAAAAGGGGAGGAGAGGAAAGAAGGTAAGGAGGAAAGAGGATGAGGTGAGGTGAGAGGAGTAAAGGAGAAGCGTGGGACAGGACGGCAGAAGAGAAGGAATGGAGAAAGAACGAAAGGAGAGATTGGGAGGAGGGGAACAAGGGGAGGGAGGAAGGGAGGCAGAGAGATGACATGAGGAGTAAAGGAGGAAAGGGGGATGGAAGGGCGGGAGATTGAGGGGGGAACCAGGGAGGGGCGGGAATGCAGGGGCACACGCAAATTGGTGTGTATCATAAAGGACAAGGGACACGAGGCAATTGATGGGAGACAACCAAAGCGAGACCTCCCCGTGCAGAGAACCAAGGCGAATGAGCTACGCGGAGCGCGTCGGTATTGGGGTTTGGAGGAGAATAGGGGCATCAAAGGGACTTGAGGTGCGGAGGCGACCGCAATGTAGCTGGGTGGGTATTCGCGCGTCCCAGTCTGATGCAACGGCGGCATTACCGTGCGACGGCAGCATTACCGTGCGACAGCAGCATTACCGTGCGACAGCAGCATTACCGTGCAACAGCAGAAGTCGGCCGTGCGACAGCAGGACTGGACCATGCGACAACAGGATAGGACTCGAGATTGCAATGCAGCTAGACGTCTCGCTAAGCCGACCGCCTAGTACAGTAACCATCCGTTATACAGAGCCAGAAATATCGTCAGGTCTACCTCGCAATACAGAAACACTTCGTTTCGCAGCCAGAAGCGTGGCTAGAGTAAAGCCCCCAGTACAGTTAACACTCGTTTTACAGCCACGCACCTGGTTAGGACAGCCCAGCGTGACAGTAAAAACTGTAGGATGTTTGTACAACGAAGAGGGAGGGCCATCGAAACACGGAAAGACGAGAAAGCAAGATTTTTTTTTGTCTTATTCTTTTTCTTTTCTTACTCATGTTCTTCGTTATCATATTTCATTGTTCGTTTCTTTTAGGTAAGTACCTGCGAAGGGTCGAGGATGTCAATGTCTCACACTCGCGATGTCCATGCCGCTGGACGAAGAAAACGAAGAAACGGAAGTGGTAACTGCGTAACCCGTCTCAGCAAGCGGCGACGCTTATTGCGACACACTTAAGATAGGCCCTTCTTTCAAAAGCTGATGCTCGAGAATGCCACTAAAGAACTGAAGACCCTCTAGCATTAGGGTCGTGAGGCAAGTAAAAACATGTAAGGACGGCACTATTATAGATGCATACGAAACCGAAAGTGCGACGAGGCGAGTTTAGTTGACAAAGACGCGTAGACCAGAGCTAAGAAAGAACACGCAAAATGGGAACGTCAAAATGAGTCAATCATGTGAATTAGGGTTCCGTCATTCCTACTCACAGTCAGTTAGGTGAACGAAGTCCCCCGTAACGAGAGGTACCGTTATGAAAGAATACATTACCGCACTCATTACCCAGCGCGTTGTGCTTTCGAGAAGACGCGGTGAGGTGAGAATCGTGATGGCTTGTTTGAGAAGGTCGGTGAGATGAGTCAATCCCAAGCGATTTGAAACAGTCGTGATGATGATGTGTGCGAGAATAAAGATGACGAGGACACGGTAATACTTGGCAAGGGTCACTTTCTTGGTACAGTTGTAACTCTTCAGGTCAGTTGAAGACAACTTATTGCTTAGCAAGGCAGTACTGTACTCAAATTCTTCGTGTGCTTTATTTCCAAGAACTCTGCTTAGCAAGGCGGCACTGTAGTCAAATTCGAAATCGGGCAGGAGTCACGAAAGATGATGAAAAGTCATTACGAGGCGCGTTGGCCTGCAGAAAGAAAGACGAGGAACGAACGAGTCAGCCGCAGTTCCTTCCAGAAAGAAGGGCTTCCGCATTTACGTTTGTAACATACGCAGTACCATTAATGCACTTGCTCTGTTTCAGTTGGTGCTAGACTGTGAGACTTAATGTGAGAAAGTAGTTAGTCATCGGTACTAGGCATGTTGGTATAACTAATCCAAATGTGAAACACCAACCATTTAAAAATGCCTGGAATGAAGACTTCATCAATGTGTGAAAAGCTGCTCGCTACGACGGGGCCTGTCCGGAATGGAACCTGCACGAAGCAAAAAGTGCACCACATTGGAGTGAATGAAACGCGTTCAAAATGATAAGCGATTGAAATATTGTGAAAAAAATTGAACCAACGATTCATAAGTAGCTACAAAGTAAAAGCTCACTGAAAAGGCGAAGGTCGAGCCGTACCTGGTTTGAATTTGGCAGCTTCGTGCCGGGCGAGTTCGGGAGGTACGGCACAACCACTCTGAGTAAGCATCTGTGATTGGAGGAGAAGGGACAAGGGGGTAGGGGAGGGGGAGGGAGGGGGGGGGGGGGGGAGGATTGGAAAGGAGAGGAGGCATGTTTGAGGTCGAAAAAAAGTGCACAAGAGAAGAGGAGGGAGGAAGGGAGAGAAAAGCGGAGCATGGAAAAAGGGGGAAGAGGTCTGATTGAGACCGTAGAAGACTGAAAGAGAGGAGGGGAGGAGCGGGAGGGAAAAGAGGAGCAGTAAAGAGGAAGCGGAGCTGCTTGAGGTCCGATTCATGCAGCGTGAGAAGGAGGGGGGGGAGCGGGGAGAGAGAGCAGCGGGAAGAGGAGGGTGCGGGCAGTGGAGCGGGGACCGGGGAGCGGGGAGCAGGGAGAGAGGGGAGAGAGGGGAGAGAGGGGAGAGAGGGGAGAGAGGGGAGCCGGGAGAAGGGGGGGCGGGGTGAGGGGAGAGGGGGGAGCGGGGGTAGTGGGGAGCAGACCTGCTTGAGATCGTATAAGAGCTCGGAGTCATGCAGCGTGAAAAAGGTGGATGCTTGAGACAACTCACACATCACACCTCTGAGTTGACTCAAGGGCGAGGAGCACACCTGGTTGAGGTCGTAGACGAGCTCCGAGTCGTGCAGCGTGAGAAAGGTGGATGCCACGCCTGTCATTTGTGTTGACTCAACTCAACAGTCATGTTTGAGTTGGCTCAGACAGTCATCGCCCACTAACGAGGGCAAAGCGCACCTGCTTGAGGTCGTAGAAGAGCTCCGAGTCATGCAGCGTGGAGAAGGTGATAATGTGGTCGCCGCGCCTGTCTTTTGAGACAGTTATAGAGTCACCTTTGAGTCGTCTGGTCGTCTCAGGGGTGAACAGCACACCTGCTTGAGGTCGTAGAAGAGCTCCGAGTCGTGCAGCGTGAGGAAGGTGGTGGCCACGCCTGTCTTGCCTGCACGCCCCGTTCGCCCTGCAGTGCCCAGCAGGTCAAAGAGAAACGGAGTCGTATAGGGGGATAGGGTGGGGTGGGGTGGGGTGGGGTGGGGAAAGAGAGGGGGGAGGGAACGGTTAGTGGAAAGGAGAGGGTGTTTCAGTGAGTCAAACAAAATGAGAGGGGCGAGTGATGAGTGACGAAAGATGTGATGGAGGAGAAAAGAGGAGCGTACCAATGCGGTGAGTGTACATCTCAATGTTGCCTGGCATGTCGAAGTTGATGACATGTGCCACGTCCTGATTGGATGGAAGGGAGACGTGTGGATGAAGGGTTGATGAATTAGCATGAAGGCTCCTGCACTCACACCCTCTCACTGGTCAGTCATTCACTCACTTGCTCACTCACTCAATCATGCGAAGAGCAGTAAAATTCTGGATTTTCCTCCCAACAAGAATCCCTTCCAGCAAACGATCGCCCAGACATCGACACAATTGCTTCTTCCTTCCACCAGCGCCAGCGTGTTTTGATACTGATTACAGTCAGTGCTCACCGGGATGTCAATACCACACCCCGCCACGTCTGTACCCACCAGCACATTGAACATCTATCGCCCCCCCCCCCCCACAACACCACAACATCACAACAATACAACACCACAACACCATAACAGCTTCGAAGACACACTCTGATAGATAGATGCTCACCGGGATGTCGATGCCACGCCCAGCCACGTCTGCGGCCACCAGCACGTTGAACTTCTTCGTTCTGATCGAAAGCCTTTCACGCTGACATATCAGTACCTGCTCACTTGGATCAAAAGCCTTTCACGCTGACATATCAGTACCTGCTCACTTGGATCAAAAGCCTTTCACGCTGACATATCAGTACCTGCTCACTTGGATCAAAAGCCTTTCACGCTGACATATCAGTACCTGCTCACTTGGATCAAAAGCCTTTCATGCTGACATATCAGTACCTGCTCACTTGGATCAAAAGCCTTTCACGCTGACATATCAGTACCTGCTCACTTGGATCAAAAGCCTTTCACGCTGACATATCAGTACCTGCTCACTTGGATCAAAAGCCTTTCATGCTGACATATCAGTACCTGCTCACTTGGATCAAAAGCCTTTCACGCTGACATATCAGTACCTGCTCACTTGGATCAAAAGCCTTTCACGCTGACATATCAGTACCTGCTCACTTGGATCAAAAGCCTTTCACGCTGACATATCAGTACCTGCTCACTTGGATCAAAAGCCTTTCACGCTGACATATCAGTACCTGCTCACTTGGATCAAAAGCCTTTCACGCTGACATATCAGTACCTGCTCACTTGGATCAAAAGCCTTTCACGCTGACATATCAGTACCTGCTCACTTGGATCAAAAGCCTTTCATGCTGACATATCAGTACCTGCTCACTTGGATCAAAAGCCTTTCACGCTGACATATCAGTACCTGCTCACTTGGATCAAAAGCCTTTCACGCTGACATATCAGTACCTGCTCACTTGGATCAAAAGCCTTTCATGCTGACATATCAGTACCTGCTCACTTGGATCAAAAGCCTTTCACGCTGACATATCAGTACCTGCTCACTTGGATCAAAAGCCTTTCACGCTGACATATCAGTACCTGCTCACTTGGATCAAAAGCCTTTCATGCTGACATATCAGTACCTGCTCACTTGGATCAAAAGCCTTTCACGCTGACATATCAGTACCTGCTCACTTGGATCAAAAGCCTTTCACGCTGACATATCAGTACCTGCTCACTTGGATCAAAAGCCTTTCATGCTGACATATCAGTACCTGCTCACTTGGATCAAAAGCCTTTCACGCTGACATATCAGTACCTGCTCACTTGGATCAAAAGCCTTTCACGCTGACATATCAGTACCTGCTCACTTGGATCAAAAGCCTTTCACGCTGACATATCAGTACCTGCTCACTTGGATCAAAAGCCTTTCATGCTGACATATCAGTACCTGCTCACTTGGATCAAAAGCCTTTCACGCTGACATATCAGTACCTGCTCACTTGGATCAAAAGCCTTTCACGCTGACATATCAGTACCTGCTCACTTGGATCAAAAGCCTTTCATGCTGACATATCAGTACCTGCTCACTTGGATCAAAAGCCTTTCACGCTGACATATCAGTACCTGCTCACTTGGATCAAAAGCCTTTCACGCTGACATATCAGTACCTGCTCACTTGGATCAAAAGCCTTTCACGCTGACATATCAGTACCTGCTCACTTGGATCAAAAGCCTTTCACGCTGACATATCAGTACCTGCTCACTTGGATCAAAAGCCTTTCACGCTGACATATCAGTACCTGCTCACTTGGATCAAAAGCCTTTCACGCTGACATATCAGTACCTGCTCACTTGGATCAAAAGCCTTTCACGCTGACATATCAGTACCTGCTCACTTGGATCAAAAGCCTTTCACGCTGACATATCAGTACCTGCTCACTTGGATCAAAAGCCTTTCACGCTGACATATCAGTACCTGCTCACTTGGATCAAAAGCCTTTCATGCTGACATATCAGTACCTGCTCACTTGGATCAAAAGCCTTTCACGCTGACATATCAGTACCTGCTCACTTGGATCAAAAGCCTTTCACGCTGACATATCAGTACCTGCTCACTTGGATCAAAAGCCTTTCATGCTGACATATCAGTACCTGCTCACTTGGATCAAAAGCCTTTCACGCTGACATATCAGTACCTGCTCACTTGGATCAAAAGCCTTTCACGCTGACATATCAGTACCTGCTCACTTGGATCAAAAGCCTTTCACGCTGACATATCAGTACCTGCTCACTTGGATCAAAAGCCTTTCACGCTGACATATCAGTACCTGCTCACTTGGATCAAAAGCCTTTCACGCTGACATATCAGTACCTGCTCACTTGGATCAAAAGCCTTTCACGCTGACATATCAGTACCTGCTCACTTGGATCAAAAGCCTTTCACGCTGACATATCAGTACCTGCTCACTTGGATCAAAAGCCTTTCACGCTGACATATCAGTACCTGCTCACTTGGATCAAAAGCCTTTCACGCTGACATATCAGTACCTGCTCACTTGGATCAAAAGTCTTTCACGCTGACATATCAGTACCTGCTCACTTGGATCGAAATCCCTGCAGGCTAACCGATTGGTGCTGGTACTCTCATCATCTGTTTTGTTTTGAGGCAATCCCATCTGATGCTCACCGGGATGTCCATACCACGCCCCGTCACGTCTGTTGCCACCAGCACATTAAACTTCTTCGTTTGAAAGCCCTCCAAGCTGACTTATCAAATCTGCTCGCCTGGCAACCACAGCTGATGCTCACCGGGATGTCAATACCACGCCCAGCCACATCCGTGGCCACCAGCACGTTGAACTTCTTCGTTCTGAAGCCCTCCAGGCTGACTTCTCGCTGCTCCTGCGTCTTGCCTCCATGCAGCGTGGTCACGTTGAACCCCATCCTGTCAATCTGCACGCATGGGAATGCAGAGCATGCAAGGGAGCGAGCACACACACTTGAGATTAGCCGAAGCCCTCCAGGCTGACCTCCCTCTCGCTGTTCCTGTGTCTAGCCTCCGTGCAGCGTGGTCACGTTGAACCCCATCCTGTCGATCTGCACGCATGCGAACGCAGACCAAGCAAGGGAGCAAGCGCTCGTGTGGGTGCATTAGTAACAATCCCTCCCCACCTGAAAACCTCACTCCACATCCCACAACCCTATCCCACCTGCTTGGCAACACCATCAGCCGTCTTCTTGGTGTTGGCAAACACAATGGCCGTGCGGTCCTCCCCAGCGCCAATCCAAACAAACCCCCCCCCCCCACACACACCTCGTTTCCCCCAACAACCACCCTGCATACCTGCTTGGCAACACCATCTCCCGTCTTCTTGGTATTCACAAACACAATGGCCGTGCGGTCCTCCCCAATCCCTTCCAAAAGGCGCTGCAGGCGGGAGATCTTCTCCGAGTCCTTCACCATAAACACGTTCTGTGTGATCAGGTCTGTCGCCTTGCCTGCCGTGCCGATAGTCACCTGCAATCGCGGTGTGGGAAGGGCATGGTAGCAAGAAAGAGGGTTGCAGGCGGGAGATCTTCTCCGAGTCCTTCACCATGAACACATTCTGCGTGATCAGATCCGTTGCCTTGCCTGCCGTGCCGATAGTAACCTGTACAGGAATACGAGGGAGACGGAAAGAGGAAGAGACATAGAGGCATGGGAGCTTGCAAGAGGGAGATCTTCTCCGAGTCCTTCACCATGAACGCGTTCTGTGTGATCAGATCCGTTGCCTTGCCTGCTGTACCGATGGTCACCTGTGCGTGAATAAAAAAGGAGACGAGCAGAAGAACAGGCTTGATTGCAGGCGGGAGACCTTCTCCGAGTCCTTCACCACGAGCACGTTCTGTGTGATCAGATCCGTTGCCTTGCCCGCTGTCCCAATCGTTACCTGAGTGGGGAAAAGATAGAGATGGAAAGAGAGCGAGAGACAGAGGCATCGGAAGCGATCTTCTCCGAGTCCTTCACCATAAACACATTCTGCGTGATCAGATCCGTTGCCTTGCCTGCCGTGCCGATCGTTACCTGCGTGCATGTTGTGGAAAGGATATGAAGAAAGGGAAGGGGATGCACAAGGATGGGGATTGCAGGCAGGATATCTTCTCCGAGGCCCTAACCACTAACACATTCTGTTGTGATCATGCCTGGTGGCCTTGCCTGCCGTGCCGATGGTCACCTGAGTGGGAAAAGAATGGAAAGAGGGAGGGGATTGCAGGTGCATGCTCTTATTTCAACCCTTCACTATGAGAACGCAGCAGGGGGCATGCAGGAGGAGAGGAGAGGCGAGAGGGTACCAAACAGGGAACACAATGGGCACAGGGGGCAGCAGCAGCAGCAGCAGCAGCAGCAGCAGCAGCAGCAGCAGCAGCAGCAGCAGCAGCAGCGAGCAGGGGAGCAGGGAGCAGATAGTTGCACGTACCACAGGAGCAGTGGGAGCAGAAGGAAAAGAGGGGACAGAGAGGCACATACCACGACGGGGTTGCGGAGGTACTTGCGGGCCAGCCGCTCGACGCTGGGAGGCATGGTTGCAGAGAACATGTAGGTCACGCGGTAGATGCGGGAGGCATCCAGCTCTGCGTCCTCGCTCTCCGGCTTGAGGAACGTTGTGTTCATGGCTTCCAGCACTCCTGTCACCTGTGCACGAGCGAGGGGGAAAGGGGGTGTGGAAGGGGGGAAAGGGGAAGTGAGTGATGAGACACGAGGCGTCCAGCTCTGCGTCCTCGCTCTCCGGCTTGAGGAACGTTGTGTTCATGGCTTCTAGCACTCCTGTCACGTGTTTCGGAACGTGCACACGGAGGGGTGGCGGAGGAAGAGGGAATGAACATGTAGGTCACGTGGTAGATGCGCGAAGCATAGGTCAAAGCTTTGTGTCACTCTCGAAATATTTTAAAAGAGAAAGAAACACGCATTGCAACTGCTCAGCACCCTCGAGGCCCATGTGGGGCAAACGTGATGCGATGCGATGTGATGTGTTGTGATGTGATGTGATGTGATGTGATGTGAGGTGATGTGTTGTGATGTGATGTGATGTGATGTGATGTGATGTGATGTGATGTGATGTGATGTGATGTGATGTGATCTGATGTGATGTGATGTGATGTGATGTGATGTGATGTGATGTGATGTGATGTGTTGTGATGTGTTGTGTTGTGATGTGATGTGATGTGATGTGATGTGATGTGATGTGATGTGATGTGATGTGATGTGATGTGATGTGATGTGATGTGATGTGATGTGATGTGATGTGATGTGATGTGATGTGATGTGATGTGATGTGATGTGATGTGATGTGATGTGATGTGATGTGAATGTGATGTGATGTGATGTGATCTGATGTGATGTGTTGTGATGTGATGTGATGTGTTGTGTTGTGTTGTGATGTGATGTGAGGTGATGTGTTGTGATGTGATGTGATGTGATGTGATGTGATGTGATGTGATGTGATGTGATGTGATGTGATGTGATGTGTTGTGATGTGTTGTGTTGTGATGTGATGTGATGTGATGTGATGTGATGTGATGTGATGTGATGTGATGTGATGTGATGTGATGTGATGTGAATGTGATGTGATGTGATGTGATCTGATGTGATGTGATGTGTTGTGATGTGATGTGATGTGATATGATGTGTTGTGATGTGATGTGATGTGATGTGATGTGATGTGATGTGATGTGATGTGATGTGATGTGATGTGATGTGATGTGATGTGATGTGATGTGATGTGATGGGTACGCTGAGGTTCATGCATGATGCATCACATCTACGGTTCCAAGACCATGTCAGTCATGCAGTCGGCCTCATCCGGGGCCAAGTAGTTGCATGCTCTGAGTCAGCACCCTCCCTCCCTCAATGCCCATGTAAAGGGCATCACACCTGCGGTTCAAAGCCCATGTCAATCATGCGGTCAGCCTCGTCCAACACCACATAGTTGCTTGCACTGGTTCAGCACCCAAAAGGCCCATGTGAGGGGTACTCTTATGTGAGTAGTGAGCACACGTAAGGGGTAACCCCTTATGCATACCTGCGGCTCGAAGCCCATGTCGATCATGCGGTCAGCCTCATCCAACACCACGTAGTTGCACTGGTTCAGGACTGCATATCGTCGCTCCAAACAGTCCAACAGCCTTCCAGGCGTGGCAATCACGATCTCACAGCCCTGAGCGACAGCAAAGGGAGTAGGGAAGAGGGAGAGGGGGGGAGCGGATGAAGAGCAACGCATGTGGGAGCACAAACTCGAAACTCGTGGGTGTTTTTTCTATTCTTCATTTCTCTCTCTCTCTCGAGTCAACTGAAAGATGTGAACACAATATCGTATCCCTGCAAGTTTGGGGGGGTAGCACTAGGGCTGACCAGGAATCGGTGGAGATTAGAAGCATGGTTTCAGCAGTGAAAAGAAGGAGCAGGAGAGAAAACAGAAGGTAGGATAAGGAACAAAGAGCGCAAGTCATGTTAACCCACTCACCTGTCGTAGCTTGAAGCCTTGCTCCTCAATGGACTGGCCTCCCACAATTGACACCACCCGGAGATTCTGCAGCAGAGAAGACAGGTGCGGAAAGGCGTGGAAATGCGTGGAAAGGCGTGGAAAGGCGTGGAAAGGCGTGGAAAGGCGTGGAAAGGCGTGGAAAGGCGTGGAAAGGCGTGGAAAGGCGTGGAAAGGCGTGGAAAGGCGTGGAAAGGCGTGGAAAGGCGTGGAAAGGCGTGGAAAGGGAGCACGGTGGAGTGTAAGAGTGAGTGAATGTGAGGGAACGTGGAGGGATGTGACAAGCGGGGGGAAGTAAGGAAACATGCAGTGTTGTCCGAAGAGAAAAAGACTTGCTTGCAGATTGACTGGCACACCTCCCACACTCAACATGAACACCAAGAACTGGGCGAACTTGACCGTTTCCTCTTCAATCTGCTGTGCCAGCTCTCTAGTGGGCGCCATGACAACTGCCTAAGGCCCCTCAGCCTCGTTGGTTGCTATCATCACCCCAGTGACACAAGCCAACTGCTCTGCAAAAGCTCACCATGAACTGGGCGAACTTGACCGTTTCCTCTTCGATCTGCTTTGCCAGCTCTCTGGTGGGCGCCATGACAACAGCGTACAGCCCCTCGGCCTCGTTGGCCTCGGTCATGAGTGGCAGCCTTTACAGATTACCCCAGTGACACAGCACAACAAGACATGCCCCAAACGTCTAACTCACCATGAACTGGGCGAACTTGACTGTTTCCTCTTCAATCTGCTGTGCCAGCTCTCTGGTGGGCGCCATGACCACGGCATACGGCCCCTCGGCCTCGTTGGCCTCGGTCATGGGCGGCAGCTTGGAGATGTACGTCAGCATGGGCAGCACGAAGGCACATGTCTTGCCGGAACCTGGATGGGTGGGGAAGGCAGGCAGGCAGGGTGCATGTGGTGGGATGGGAAGGGCCCCTCGGCCTTGTTGGCCTCGGTCATGGGCGGCAGCTTGGAGATGTACGTTAGCATGGGCAGCACACACGCACACGTCTTGCCGGAACCTGGGTGGGTGGGGGAGGCAGGGTGTACGCTGGTGGAGAGTCGCACTATTGCAGGAGCCTGTGGGTGGGGCAGGTAAGAAAAAAAAACTGTTTGCAGATCTAAGCTGTTGTAAGACGAATGGAGGAGGGAGGGAGAGGATGGGAATAGCGGCCATCTGGATGGGCGAAGGCTTGGCGGGTGTGTGCGTGTCTGGAAGTGATTCATCTCTCAGTGATTCTCACCAGTCTCGGCAATGCCAATCACGTCTCGCTGCTGCAGCCCGATGGGCATGGCAGCCATCTGGATGGGCGACGGCTTGGTGTAGCCGATCTCCTTCACGGCCCTCAGCAGCTCCGCTGACAGCCCACTCTCCTCCCAGTTGCGCATGGGACGCGGCACCTTGGAGCCCTGGGAAATGGGGAGGCGGGGGGTCGAAAGAGGGGGGGACAGGGGGGAGAGGGCCCAGATGGGGCCAGATGGGAGGGAGGTGCTGCTGACAGCCCACTCTCCTCCCAGTTGCGCATGGGGAGCGGCACCTTGGAGCCCTGCGAAGAGAAAACATTGCCGAATCGTTAATAGAACACGAGCTTATACGTACAGTCACGGTACCTTATACGGAATGTTGAAATCTGCGTGTGTGTGATAAAAGGCAATTTTCAAGTCGAGAAAAAAATCCTGACTAGAACACACATATGTATAGCCGCGGTGCCTACCTTGTACGCAATGTTGAAATCCTCCCGGAAAATGCGCCAGTCACGCTCAGTCATCTCGTTCAGCTGATGTGAGGGTGGACGAGGGAGAGGATGGAGGGAGAGAACGAAATTTGAGAAAATGGATATGGTTAGACATTTGACGATAAGTAAGGCTGTCCACAGCTTGTCAGAACGTGCCAGTCACGATCCGTAATCCCCCTTAACGTATGCGGCAGCATACAAGGACAGAGATAAGAGGAGGTGACTTTCGAGTCGACTCAAAAGTCACCCTAACGGATGCGGCAGCAGCATACAAGGACAGAGATGAGCGGACAGAGGAAAGCAGACACGGGCAAGGGGAAAGGTATGAGGAAGGGGCTTGAAGTGAAGAGACTGCATAATGCAGCATGGAATTGATTTGATCCACAGAGGAGGGTGAGAAGGACGGCGTATGCCGCCGAATCGTGCCCATCCACTCTCACCTTCTTTTCGGACCAGTGCCGGTCAACGCGCATGTCAAACGTGTCATATGCGTTCGCAGCCTCTTCTCTCTTCTGCTGCGCCTCCGCATCCTCTGGCCTCTCCTCCACCCCCTCCTTCTCCTGCTCGGGCAGGTACGAAGAGAGGAGAGGATGGACGAACATGCACATGCATGCACATGTGACATGCACATGCACATGCACACACATGCACATGCACACGCATTCACATGCACACACATGCACATGCACACGCATACACATGCACACGCACACACATGCACATGCACATGCACATGCAAACACATGAACACACATGCACATGCAGAAGTGCATGGGAACATGAGAATGAACATTCATATGCCCATACATACAGACACAGCCACACGCAGGCATGGACATAGGAAAGCACACGGAGTTGGCGGGGGAACGAGGAGACATGGGATCGTAGGGAGGGAGAGTAACAAAGTGACTTTTGAGTCGACTCAAAAGTCACCTCGAAAGCACACGGGGTTGGCGGGGGTACGAGGAAACATAGAATAGTCGGGAGGGAGAATGACAGGCGACAACGGGGAGGGAAGGGGCAGACAAGGAGACGCAGAACGGAACGCAGAATTATCAACAGCTACAACTCCAATAAAGAGGTGACTTTTGAGTCGACTCAAAAATCACAACGGGAAGGGAAGGGGCAGACAAGGAGACGCAGAACGGAACGCAGAATTATCAACAGCTACAACTCCAATAAAGAGGTGACTTTTGAGTCGACTCAAAAATCACAACGGGAAGGGAAGGGGCAGACAAGGAGACGCAGAACGGAACGCAGAATTATCAACAGCTACAACTCCAATAAAGAGGTGACTTTTGAGTCGACTCAAAAATCACAACGGGAAGGGAAGGGGCAGACAAGGAGACGCAGAACGGAACGCAGAATTATCAACAGCTACAACTCCAATAAAGAGGTGACTTTTGAGTCGACTCAAAAATCACAACGGGAAGGGAAGGGGCAGACAAGGAGACGCAGAACGGAACGCAGAATTATCAACAGCTACAACTCCAATAAAGAGGTGACTTTTGAGTCGACTCAAAAATCACAACGGGAAGGGAAGGGGCAGACAAGGAGACGCAGAACGGAACGCAGAATTATCAACAGCTACAACTCCAATAAAGAGGTGACTTTTGAGTCGACTCAAAAATCACAACGGGAAGGGAAGGGGCAGACAAGGAGACGCAGAACGGAACGCAGAATTATCAACAGCTACAACTCCAATAAAGAGGTGACTTTTGAGTCGCCTCAAAAATCACAACGGGAAGGGAAGGGGCAGACAAGGAGACGCAGAATGGAACGCAGAATTATCAACAGCTACAACTCCAATAAAGAGGTGACTTTTGAGTCGACTCAAAAATCACAACGGGAAGGGAAGGGGCAGACAAGGAGACGCAGAACGGAACGCAGAATTATCAACAGCTACAACTCCAATAAAGAGGTGACTTTTGAGTCGACTCAAAAATCACAACGGGAAGGGAAGGGGCAGACAAGGAGACGCAGAACGGAACGCAGAATTATCAACAGCTACAACTCCAATAAAGAGGTGACTTTTGAGTCGCCTCAAAAATCACAACGGGAAGGGAAGGGGCAGACAAGGAGACGCAGAACGGAACGCAGAATTATCAACAGCTACAACTCCAATAAAGAGGTGACTTTTGAGTCGACTCAAAAATCACAACGGGAAGGGAAGGGGCAGACAAGGAGACGCAGAACGGAACGCAGAATTATCAACAGCTACAACTCCAATAAAGAGGTGACTTTTGAGTCGACTCAAAAATCACAACGGGAAGGGAAGGGGCAGACAAGGAGACGCAGAACGGAACGCAGAATTATCAACAGCTACAACTCCAATAAAGAGGTGACATTTGAGTCGCCTCAAAAATCACAACGGGAAGGGAAGGGGCAGACAAGGAGACGCAGAACGGAACGCAGAATTATCAACAGCTACAACTCCAATAAAGAGGTGACTTTTGAGTCGACTCAAAAATCACAACGGGAAGGGAAGGGGCAGACAAGGAGACGCAGAACGGAACGCAGAATTATCAACAGCTACAACTCCAATAAAGAGGTGACTTTTGAGTCGCCTCAAAAATCACAACGGGAAGGGAAGGGGCAGACAAGGAGACGCAGAACGGAACGCAGAATTATCAACAGCTACAACTCCAATAAAGAGGTGACTTTTGAGTCGACTCAAAAATCACAACGGGAAGGGAAGGGGCAGACAAGGAGACGCAGAACGGAACGCAGAATTATCAACAGCTACAACTCCAATAAAGAGGTGACTTTTGAGTCGACTCAAAAATCACAACGGGAAGGGAAGGGGCAGACAAGGAGACGCAGAACGGAACGCAGAATTATCAACAGCTACAACTCCAATAAAGAGGTGACTTTTGAGTCGACTCAAAAATCACAACGGGAAGGGAAGGGGCAGACAAGGAGACGCAGAACGGAACGCAGAATTATCAACAGCTACAACTCCAATAAAGAGGTGACTTTTGAGTCGACTCAAAAATCACAACGGGAAGGGAAGGGGCAGACAAGGAGACGCAGAACGGAACGCAGAATTATCAACAGCTACAACTCCAATAAAGAGGTGACTTTTCAGTCGACTCAAAAATCACAACGGGAAGGGAAGGGGCAGACAAGGAGACGCAGAACGGAACGCAGAATTATCAACAGCTACAACTCCAATAAAGAGGTGACTTTTGAGTCGACTCAAAAATCACAACGGGAAGGGAAGGGGCAGACAAGGAGACGCAGAACGGAACGCAGAATTATCAACAGCTACAACTCCAATAAAGAGGTGACTTTTGAGTCGACTCAAAAATCACAACGGGAAGGGAAGGGGCAGACAAGGAGACACAGAACGGAACGCAGAATTATCAACAGCTACAACTCCAATAAAGAGGTGACTTTTGAGTCGACTCAAAAATCACAACGGGAAGGGAAGGGGCAGACAAGGAGACGCAGAACGGAACGCAGAATTATCAACAGCTACAACTCCAATAAAGAGGTGACTTTTGAGTCGACTCAAAAATCACAACGGGAAGGGAAGGGGCAGACAAGGAGACGCAGAACGGAACGCAGAATTATCAACAGCTACAACTCCAATAAAGAGGTGACTTTTGAGTCGACTCAAAAATCACAACGGGAAGGGAAGGGGCAGACAAGGAGACGCAGAACGGAACGCAGAATTATCAACAGCTACAACTCCAATAAAGAGGTGACTTTTGAGTCGACTCAAAAATCACAACGGGGGGAAGGGGCAGACAAGGAGACGCAGAACGGAACGCAGAATTATCAACAGCTACAACTCCAATAAAGAGGTGACTTTTGAGTCGACTCAAAAATCACAACGGGAAGGGAAGGGGCAGACAAGGAGACGCAGAACGGAACGCAGAATTATCAACAGCTACAACTCCAATAAAGAGGTGACTTTTGAGTCGACTCAAAAATCACAACGGGAAGGGAAGGGGCAGACAAGGAGACGCAGAACGGAACGCAGAATTATCAACAGCTACAACTCCAATAAAGAGGTGACTTTTGAGTCGACTCAAAAATCACAACGGGAAGGGAAGGGGCAGACAAGGAGACGCAGAACGGAACGCAGAATTATCAACAGCTACAACTCCAATAAAGAGGTGACTTTTGAGTCGACTCAAAAATCACAACGGGAAGGGAAGGGGCAGACAAGGAGACGCAGAACGGAACGCAGAATTATCAACAGCTACAACTCCAATAAAGAGGTGACTTTTGAGTCGACTCAAAAATCACAACGGGAAGGGAAGGGGCAGACAAGGAGACGCAGAACGGAACGCAGAATTATCAACAGCTACAACTCCAATAAAGAGGTGACTTTTGAGTCGACTCAAAAATCACAACGGGAAGGGAAGGGGCAGACAAGGAGACGCAGAACGGAACGCAGAATTATCAACAGCTACAACTCCAATAAAGAGGTGACTTTTGAGTCGCCTCAAAAATCACAACGGGAAGGGAAGGGGCAGACAAGGAGACGCAGAACGGAACGCCGAATTATCAACAGCTACAACTCCAATAAAGAGGTGACTTTTGAGTCGACTCAAAAATCACAACGGGAAGGGAAGGGGCAGACAAGGAGACGCAGAACGGAACGCAGAATTATCAACAGCTACAACTCCAATAAAGAGGTGACTTTTGAGTCGACTCAAAAATCACAACGGGAAGGGAAGGGGCAGACAAGGAGACGCAGAACGGAACGCAGAATTATCAACAGCTACAACTCCAATAAAGAGGTGACTTTTGAGTCGCCTCAAAAATCACAACGGGAAGGGAAGGGGCAGACAAGGAGACGCAGAACGGAACGCAGAATTATCAACAGCTACAACTCCAATAAAGAGGTGACTTTTGAGTCGACTCAAAAATCACAACGGGAAGGGAAGGGGCAGACAAGGAGACGCAGAACGGAACGCAGAATTATCAACAGCTACAACTCCAATAAAGAGGTGACTTTTGAGTCGCCTCAAAAATCACAATGGGAAGGGAAGGGGCAGACAAGGAGACGCAGAACGGAA